GGGGAGAATGTGGGGGTGGTGGTTATAGAAAGAATGTGGGTGAGGCTACTGTAGATGTGGTGATTGTGTGAAGTTCGTGGGTCGAATTCTAAACAATTAGATGTATGGGCAAGTTTCCTAACACCTACTGTCCTTGCTCTGTAGTAGTAAACAGATACCTAGAAGCTAATCTACTATTGGGTCCTTTTTAAGTCCTTCCTGGGTTACGACCCAGGTAGGACCTGAAATGGACCCTAAGGAAAGCCACCGAGTTTCTTATTCGGATTTTTAACCCGAAGGATAACTCAAAATAGTCAGTGCGTCATCGAGGACTGTCTTATTTCCACTGTGATCCTTTAATAATCTTGTGCCCCCAGGATGTGACCCACACCAGCTGACTAACACTCAGGCACCTACTAACCACTAGGTGAATAGGGACAGCATGCGTAAGGAAACATGCCCAGCGTTTCCACCCATGTTGGGTACTGAACCTCGGATACTCAAATGTTTGAGGCGAGTGCTTTGCCAACCGAGCCTTCTGGGATTACTAATCTGAAAAAGTTGCCAGTTTTCTTTCTTCGTTGAGAAATTAAGGGTCGGCTTGTGTGTCTATGTATTTACTGGCAATGAACACCAGTTCGAGCGGCCCTCCAATGGGCTTTATCATATTGACTCTTGAAGGTTAAAGTCCTAACGGAAAGGCAAGATAACGAATCCTCGGTAGTATAGTGGTTAGTATCCCCGCCTGTCACGCGGGAGACCGGGGTTCAATTCCCCGCCGGGGAGGTGTATTTTAATATTGAATACTGTTTGTGTTCTTATAGAGAGACATGTTTTCGTAAACAGATATTTGCACATACATACAGGTTCTCGCTAAAGAAAGACCAGGGGTGACAAGATACTACGTACAAAATACTGAGAGGAACTGACAGAGTGGACAAGGCGAGTCTGAAAGGCGGGTCGTAGGTACAAGAGTGAACAGCTAGAAGCTTATAAACACAAATGTGTCACGGGGGTGGCCTTAGAGTGGCCAGGAAGTGGAAAGACAGCGAAGTGGTAGAGGCAGGATCCATGAATAGCTTTAATAATACATATAATAGGGCTCACGCAGTCAGGAGATTGATTTTGCTGCGGAAGCGGCTAGTGTATTGTGCGCCCCATATCTATCCTGTGGGCGGTAGTGCAAGAGGATATGGACAAACAAAAGGCCTAGGAATTACGCCCAAAATGGGTTTACAGGAATACATCTTGATTTATATCTGCAGTTGACTTATCTGTTGAAAGCAAATTTGCTGAATATACTACCTGGTATCTTATTTTCGTTAATATTTTGACACATACATTATTATACTATCTCTATATTCCTCATTATGTGGACAATTAATCACATAGTGTTCAAGATAGTGACCACTGGGCTGGCCACACATATTTTGCACTTGATTTTATCATGTGTGTGTCTGCCAAGCTGCCAGAAACACTTGTAACTAAGCCTAAGCCTGGATACTACATCAGTCAGTCTCTTCACATTGCAAGTTGTTCCATAAACGTACATACAGTATCTACATTCATGCTATTATAGTGGGCTATAGATCTACTCAGGTTTCTAATCCAGTAACTGCCAGCGGAGAGGCTGAGCCAGGAGGAAAGACGCGACTCCTGCAATCACAAATAGGTGAGCACACAGACACAGGTGAGCGCCTATGGCCAACACAAAGCTTAATTAAGAGGAAGAGCCCGAAGCAACACTCGATCCCGTAAACACAAATCGCTAGGTACACAAACCTACACACAGAAGCCCCCCAGCACACACACGTATTACGAAACTTCGCCGATGCTAAATAAAGAGAATAACAGCTGAAGGGTACACGAGGAGGTTCTACGATGACCTAACATAAATGGACAGCCAAGTTGCACTAGGGTCTTACTGCCAGTAAGTATAAGGTAATACGAGTGAGGTAGTGAAAGATCAGAGAGAATGTAGCTTGGGAGAAAACACACTGCCGACAGTATCTTAGAGTGAGCATAATACCGTGAACATCAACGGGAGTGCACATCAATCACGTAACTCCAGCAGTATATATGTACATGAATGGTATACAATACCATCAAGATGATAATTAGACACATTTGCAAAATCTGGGTATCTTTATTGTAGGCGTTTCGCCAACCAGCGGTTGGCGAAACGTCTACAATAGATTTTTCAGGACTACGTTGCTCTTCAACTCCAAGGCTGAGGGACTGATTACTTCATCTTCTGTATATAGTTCTATTGTCTTCCAATTATGTCCGATAATCTGTATTAAGCCACTGGTTGGCTTAATGTCTACAATAAAGATACCCAGATGCTGCAAATGTGTCTAATTTCCATAGTCTCGTGGCTCAGTTGGTAGCCGCATCAACCGTGAGCCTGGTGTTCGACTCCCGACACGAGTGGAAACGTTGGGCATGTTTCCTTACACCTGCTGCCCGTGTTCGTCTGACAATAAGTAGGTACCTGGGTGTTACTCGACTGGTGTGGGTCACATCCTGGGAATGAGGATTAAAGGATCCCAATGGAAATAAAACAGTCTTCGATTACATCCTCAGCTCACCTATGGCATCTGTGACTGGGGATCTACTACAGCAAATTACCTAAACTCAATAGAAGCCCAGCAAAAATCAGCTGTACGAGTAATTACTCAAGGAAACATTAGATAACAAACGCTCCCGTTCTCCGAAAGTTTAAACTTAATCAGCATACAAAACGTTCAATTTTACTACTGTGCATACTATATAAGAACAACAATCAATATTAATAAAAACCCTTCTCCAAAACTCTTCCAAGATAGCTGCAACACAACCCGCATAATACAAGATAAAAATACCTCTTCGATATCCCTCTGCACGACTCAACCTGAGTAAAAACTCGATTCGTATAAATGGCCCCAAAATATTGGATATTTCTACCTGAAGATTCCAGAGGTTCCAGCTCTGGCAACAACTTTAAAGTTACTGTCAAAAAAACGCCTCTTTACCTTAATGTGATTCATCTACTTGATTTTTAATCCAGTACTCATCCTCCAGTACTCGTTTCTGCTGTTTTCTTCTATTCTCGTATATCATATCTTATGCTGCAGTCCCTTTCATGGCTGAGTGTGGGTTATTTGTGTATTCAGACACAGCTGTTTTACCAAGAATTTTACACGGTTTTATCCTTGTTCATAACTCCTTATATCCATACACAAATAACCCACACATAGAAGAAAGGAGCTTACGACGACGTTTCGGTCCGACTTGGACCATTTACAAAGTCACACTAACGAGAAGTAGAGCAGGACGGGTATATATAGGCGGGAAGTGGTAGTGGAAGTAGTAGTGGTAGAAGTAGTAGTGGTAGAAGTAGTAGTGGTAGAAGTAGTAGTGGTAGAAGTAGTAGTGGTAGAAGTAGTAGTGGTAGAAGTAGTGGTAGTAGTGGTAGAAGTAGTAGTAGTAGTGGTAGAAGTAGTAGTAGTAGTGGTAGAAGTAGTAGCGGAGATGGAAGGTAGTAGTAGTGGGGAAGTGAGGAGGAGGAGTCAGTCAAGTCGGACCGAAACGTCGTCGTAAGCTCCTCTCTTCTATGTGCGGGTTATTTGTATATCGTTCCAATCACGGTACTGTGCCTTTTTTTTTTATTCCTTATATCGATCTCTGTAGATACAGTCCTCATGATACAACAGATACACACTTAACTGACATCATTGGCATACTTTACAGAAAGCCCCTAGTTATGCAGAGCATTTTGGGCAACCTAAGTTAATATTGTCCCCCAGGATGCGATCCACAACAGCAGGCTAACACCCAGGTACCTAATTACTTCTAGGTGAACAAGGAACATGCCCAACTTTTTACCAGCGCCGGGGATCGATCCTAGACCCCTCAGTGTATAAACTGAGTACGCTATCAAGTCGCAGGCGTGTTAGAATTTTTTTTTCACTCGTAGCGAGGAAGGAGAATGAACTAAAAGTGATGTGAAGGCCAACTCCATGCGAAGTTTCATGAGTAGGTATGACAGGGCCTTGGCTGCCGGAAATAATCCGTAAGGCCGGCAATTAGTAGTTAAGTTTATTTAGGTACAGCTACACTTAAGCACAATTACCATACATAGTTTAACATGTGTGTAAATTAACTAGGATATCCCATAAAAGCCAAAGCTATTTAGTTCCACGAACTCTAAATCGACCTGTGTTTATATGCTTGCCTAGTTTTAGGTAAGCACATAAACACAGCTAGCAATTTCGTACAACGATCTAGGTCTCAGTATTTTAATAATTGCATTATAAAACGTCAAAAACTTGCAGATGGTGATGCAACTTTGACTTATGAGGTAGACTTAGTTCTTGAGTAATTATCATAAGACCCAGTCCTCGGTAGTATAGTGGTTAGTATCCCCGCCTGTCACGCGGGAGACCGGGGTTCAATTCCCCGCCGGGGAGGCACACATATATTGAATCCTACAACCTAGTGAATGTGGCGGCTTCATTTGTTCTGAATAATGGTTGTATATACTATAGCCAAAGTGTTAACTTCATTTAGTGAGGTCTCCTGGTTTACCTTTACCTTTGATATACTTTTAATGAGTTCCTAGAATTTTTCTACTTCCAGAGGCCGGCCTTAGGCCAGGCTCGTCTGGTGCTTTCCTGGTCAACCAGGCTGTTACTGTTGTGGCCCACTGCCCTACATATCCATCACAGCCTGGTTAATCTGGTTTAAAAATGTGGAACGCTTCACGATTCTGCTCGTGGCCCGGTGGCCTGGTGGCTAAAGCTCCCGCTTCACACACGGAGGGCCCGGGTTCGATTCCCGGCGGGTGCAAACATTCGACACGTTTCCTTACACCTGTTGTCCTGTTCACCTAGCAGCAAATAGGTACCTGGGTGTTAGTCGACTGGTGTGGGTCGCATCCTGGGGGACAAGATTAAGGACCCCAATGGAAATAAGTTAGACAGTCCTCGATGACGCACTGACTTTCTTGGGTTATCCTGGGTGGCTAACCCTCCGGGGTTAAAAATCCGAACGAAATCTTATCTTATCTCGTCATCCTTGCGGAGGGGCCATGCTAATCTCCTCTGTATCGTTCCAATTTTAGTAACACGTAATGCCGAAGCAAATCGGAGTTGAGGAGTCACGTGACCACAGAATAAATAATCCAAAGAAAATCTTATACACACAAATACAAAATTTTCATCTACGAAAATCTAAAAATAGTTTTGCAAGCAGTGATATAAATTTATCCACTGCTCTGAGGGATCACACAAGTTGTAGTTATAAGATTTCGTTCGGATTTTTAACCCCGGAGGGTTAGCCACCCAGGATAACCCAAGAAAGTCAGTGCGTCATCGAGGACTGTCTGACTTATTTCCATTGGGGTCCTCAAATCTTGTCCCCCAGGATGCGACCCACACCAGTCGACTAACAGTCAGGTACCTATTTGCTGCTAGGTGAACAGGACAACAGGTGTAAGGACACGTGTCGAAATGTTTCCACCCGCCGGGAATCGAACCCGGGCCCTCCGTGTGTGAAGCGAGAGCTTTAACCACCAGGGATTACCCTAAAAAAAGTCAATGTGACATATTTATCTTACTTGGGTATTTATTTATGCAAAACACGTCAGTTAATTTTGTTACGATGCAGACTAAAGAGGTGAAGACCAAAACCATTAAATTTAAATACATTATTATAGTTACACACATGTACAATAGTCAATTTACGCACATTTTGAAAACCTGGACAGATTAAAGTACAAGTTTTGACGTAATATTTAAAATCAATCCTCGGTAGTATAGTGGTTAGTATCCCCGCCTGTCACGCGGGAGACCGGGGTTCAATTCCCCGCCGGGGAGGTACATATATTGAACCCATGAACCCAACATTTGTGTGGTATCAGTTGTTCCAGGTAATAGCTGAGTACCTAGAAGGTTAATTTTCGGTTAGAGGACGAGTGAGGCTTCCTGGCATTAGCTGGGAGGTCATACAGACGCTAGATCACGTCAATAGATACCGCTAAGAAAAAACTGTATTTTAGTGCTGTTGTGATTTGTGTTCCCGCCAACAGCATCAGAAGTAAATGTAGGTAGGTAGGTGTGTGTAGGTGTGCGTGTGTAGGTGTGCGTGTGTAGGTGTGCGTAGGTGTGTGTAGGTGTGTGTGTAGGTGTGTGTGTAGGTGTGTGTGTAGGTGTGTGTGTAGGTGTGTGTAGGTGTGTGTAGGTGTGTGTGTAGGTGTGTGTGTGTGTGTAGGTGTGTGTGTGTGTGTGTGTGTGTGTGTGTGTGTGTGTGTGTGTGTGTGTGTGTGTGTGTGTGTTACGCACACACCCAGGACCCTGTACACCGTGTACGCTAGTCCTATATTGGAGTATGCAGCACCAGTTTGGAAGCCACACCTAGCCAAGCATGTAAGGAAACTAGAGAAAGTGCAAAGGTTTGAGACAAGACTAGTCCCGGAGCTAAGGGGCATTATACACAACCCGTACATAAAAGAGAGAAGCTTACGATGACGTTTCGGTCCGACTTGGACCATTGACAAAGTCACACTAACCAGAGGTGGAGTAGGACGGCTATATATAGGCAGGAAGAGGTGATGGTAGTAGTAGTAGTAGTAGTGGTAGTAGTAGTAGTGGTAGTAGTAGTAGTAGTAGTAGTAGTAGTAGTAGTAGTAGTAGTAGTAGTAGTAGTAGTAGTAGTAGTAGTAGTAGTAGAAGAATGGTATATAATACCGACAAGATGAAATTAAGACACATGCGCAACACCCGGGCATCCCTATCGTAGACGTTTCGCCATCCAGCCAGCCACTGGATGGCGAAACGTCCACAACAAAGACAACCAGACGCCGCACATGTCTTAATTTCATAAGTAGTTGTAGTAGTAGTAGAGGTAGTGGTAGTGGTAGAAGTGGGACGTCCTCCTTATTTCCCACTTCTACCACTACCACTACTACTACCTCTACTACTACAACTACTGATGAAATTAAGACACATGTGCGGCGTCTGGTTGTCTTTGTTGTGGACGTTTCGCCATCCAGTGGCTGGCTGGATGGCGAAACGTCTACGATAGGGATGCTTGAGGTTCCTAAACCTGTATTCCCTGGAACGCAGGCGGGAGAGATACATGATTATATACACCTGGAAAATCCTAGAGGGACTAGTACCGAACTTGCACACGAAAATCACTCACTACGAAAGCAAAAGACTTGGCAGACGATGCAACATCCCCCCAATGAAAAGCAGAGGTGTCACTAGCACGTTAAGAGACCATACAATAAGTGTCAGGGGCCCGAGACTGTTCAACTGCCTCCCAGCATACATAAGGGGGATTACCAACAGACCCCTGGCAGTCTTCAAGCTGGCACTGGACAAGCACCTAAAGTCGGTTCCTGATCAGCCGGGCTGTGGCTCGTACGTTGGTTTGCGTGCAGCCAGCAGCAACAGCCTGGTTGATCAGGCTCTGATCCACCAGGAGGCCTGGTCACAGACCGGGCCGCGGGGGCGTTGACCCCCGGAACTCTCTCCAGGTAAACTCCAGGTAAAGATAAAGAAACATTAATATCCTTAAAGAATACAAGATACTCAATGGAAAAAAACTGAATAATGATAGGCTTTTCGAGATGCTAAGAGAAACAAGGGGTCACAATGACAGCTAAACATTTTGACGAGTCAAAAAGACAACCTGTGGAAATACTCCTTCGGTCTCATAGGTTAATAAATGGAATAAAATGAACCGGTGACTGAAGCTCAATTAACATACTGTTTCAAGAACAGCTATGTTAGATAAATAGAGACAAATGTAACTAATAAAACATTTATTGTGGCACCTAGTGAGAAATTTAGCCGCAATAAATGTCTTGTTAACTGCACACGTGGCCATTTTCCTAACATACTGCCGGTATTCCTGCTACTAATAAACCATGATACATGTTTAACAAGGCCCTAGAGGCCAGGAGTCGGTAAAGCCAGTCTTCAGTAATTATAATGGCTAGGATTGATCAACTGTCCTCCACATACACAGCTAGTGATGTCCGGGGAAATATTTAAAATATAATCTTCCTTTCACAGATACCTGCAAATGGTTTTGCAAGCAGCAATACAAAACTGAAAATGGTTCTGAGGGAGCCTAAATGTTATGGTTATACATAATGTATATAATACACCAGTCAATGTGACTTTATGACCCAAGATCTCTAACTCTAGTTCATTACAGGTGCACACAGCTACAATAGTCAATTTATACATTATAATGTGAAGAGCTGGAAAGATAGATTCAAGTACAAGTCTAGACAGAATATGTAAAAACAATCCTCGGTAGTATAGTGGTTAGTATCCCCGCCTGTCACGCGGGAGACCGGGGTTCAATTCCCCGCCGGGGAGGCACATATATTGAACCCTACGCTCAAACGTTAATTAATGTGGTGGTATCAGTTGCTTTGCACTATAGCTGGATATCTAAATAGTTCATTTTCAGTTGGGGTGTGAGCGAAGTTATTTATTTAAACGCTAGATGAGTCACTCTCGCGGCTCAGATGAAAATGTTTGTTTTGGCAAGTTCAGTGGCGCAGTGGTTTGTGTTCATGCAATCACGAGAACGCACAGTCCCATAGGTGTGCGTGCGCCACGCACGCATGCACCCACGCAGGCGGGCACGCACGCACAAATCGGTGAGTAAGTACACTAGATTTTGCCGATGATGTAAAACTAGCCAAGATAAAAACAAGAGAACAAAGACGAAGATCTAAAAAAAGGTCAATTAAGTGGCTACTGATATTCAATCCTTAAAAGTGAGAATAAGAATAATGTATGAGGAGGGAGAGAGAGAGGGAAGGAGGGAGAGAGGGAAGGAGGGAGAGAGGGAAGGAGGGAGGGTGGGAGAGGAAGAGGCTGTACTCTTCTCAAGAACATCACTTTATCTGAGATCATTTTATCCCAGGATGATTAGAGTCTGGAACATATTCGCACAGCATAATGGCATCAACGAAATAAAGTTAGTTGCTCAAATGAAATTGTTGGCCCACAGATGGCTCCAACTTCATCCTGTTCCCCATTTGTATGTAATTTAACAATAAAAAGGCTTTGAAATGAGGTGATGCAGGTAATCTTATCTTGTAAAATTCTTGTGTAAAAAAGGGAGGTAGGGAGGGAAGGAGAGAGAGAGAGAGAGATCATACATACCAGGATGACTCGAGTATGGAACACATTTGTACAGCATAATGATGTCAACGAGATAAAGTCAGTTGATCAAATGAAAATGCTGGCCCACAGATGGCTCCAACTTATCCTGTTCCCTACTTGTATGTCTCATAACAATAAAAATGCTTTCAAATGAGCTGATGTAGGTAACAGCTCTTAGCTTGCCAATAAAGTTAGGGATCCTTAACCTTGTCAAACCCTGTGTAAAAAAGAGAGAGAGAGAGAGAGAGAAAATCACAGACGGAAATCAACCGGCAAGGGACAATAGACAACAGGCAAGAAGAATATCTAACCATAAACATCATGTTCAAAATGGTGTAAAATACCCCTTGCCAGGAAACTTCTTCATCGTTATCCTACGCATTAACAAACCTACTTAAAGGACCCCAATGGAAATAAGTCACTCTGTCTGACTTTTTTGGGTTATCCCAGGTTCTCTACACATATGCTGCTATGTATGATAATTCTATGTAACTGTATTTGTGTATACCTGAATAAACTTACTTACTGGACCATGCCGGATAGGTCCTCAAATACAGCCTCTTCTCTGCAATCAACTGCAATATTTTTCACCTGATCATTCACGTTACTATGCTCCCAATATATACTCATGTACTCTCTGCTCAGACAGATCTGTTTACGACTTGATATTATTATTATTATAATCAAGGGGAAGCGCTAAACCCGGAGGATTATACAGCGCCTGGGGTGGGGGATGTGGAAGGCATTCAGGCTTAATTCGGGGAACTGGAGCACAGGTCCAATTCCCTAAATCAAGAGCCCCTCACCAACATCAAGGAACCTTCCTTGAGGGGTACGACTTGATAAAGTCCACTGTGGGGCGAAACGTAGTCAATAAAGGATCGCATTATACTACATTGGTGTCTCTCTTTCCACAGTATCGGTATTTTATACCATTTACCTCTAAGGTAAGGA